TTACAAAAACTCGAAAGCACTGCGTCTCTACGTCGATGTTATCTTAATGGTTAAATGTGGAAGTGTTAAGAGTATATACTCCAAAATTGGATATTTTTGCTTCAGAATTAAGGGAGGTAAAATGCCAGGTGCTTTTAGGGAAGAAATGTGTGGTCCGAAATGAATTTTGTTTAATTGACCAGTACACAGACTAGAGCGCCAACGTTTGCGTGACACCCTTAGTTGTTCATAAACTACAGCGCCCACTATCAGGGCATGGTATAAACATGATTATTAAAATTAACTTTCAAAATAGTGTAAGTGACTTAGATGGGTCACGATACTTGAAAATTTTATGTTCTTTTTTTTATTTGATGACCTTTGTGGTGTGAGTGATGTGTGGAGTACGATCATATTAAAGTTAGAAGGTAAAGGTGCCATGCCAATGTTAACAAAAACCGTTAATTTTGAAATTGAATATAACAGTGCAGTAAAATTCATTGATTATCTTGATCTATGCCTTTGTTGCAAAAGGACATAATCGCCATTAATTGAGAGAAAAAGTACTGATCCCAAAATACAGTAGGATAATGATTTACGCGAGAGAAGCCACCTGCAAAACTAACTATTGAATTGTTAACGTAGACGACTCAACCTTGTATATAATCTGATTAAAATATAAAACATTCAAGCGTTCGTAAGTATTTATTACAAACATTCATTCGTGAGTATTTATTACAAACTTATAAATCAATTATTAGTTTTAACTAATGTCTAAAGTCATGAAGTAATGACTAATTACACGCTTTACATTATCGTGATCTACGAGTATTTATAAAACTTTACTTTCAACCGATTGGCTCGACCGAAAGAATCGGACAATATAAAAAGGGTTTTTTACCATTACTTAGTGAAGATTAGTAAAGTATAAATTACGATTGATCTGCTAGTAGCTACACTAGTAAATCCGATATTAATGTAATAAAATCTACGTCTAAAGACCGAGTTTTCAGTGGCCCATCTTCGTTTATTTCCATTGACATTTGATATTTGATGTAGATAACCTCCATCAATAAACCAAACTTAAAAGTATCCAACTACTCGTATAAGTTTATTTGTGTGCTCCTTTTTTTGTGCACTTGACAGCCAATAAGGAAAGGCGATTATGACAATTGTTATTCAAAAGTGACGTAGATAAAAATATTTTTGTGCAGTTTCAAAATAACATTTTTTAAGTATTTTATTAAAACCTGTTTCAAACAAATTACTTCACATTTACAGGTTACACTATCTACCATTATTCCAATGTAACTTTATTTGAATGTCAGGTTGTCTTGACAGAGTTTTCACTTTCTTTGAGTATACCCTCAATAGTAACTCGTTTTATACGTGCAAATGCTCTATCTACTTATCAGTTAGTCATTGCCTGTATCGTGCCAGAGCAGATGCACTCAACTACTTATTTACCCATGGAAATTCCCAGAAGGCCAATTCTCGTAGTGAAATTTCGGTCTCAATTCAGTTCCGATCAACTTTCGATGTCACATTTCGATGAAAGTGTGTCACACATTTAATTAATTTCCTTGTTCCTTACTAGCTCAACAATTAACAAGTCTTAGAAGTACATAAATCCTAAACTTAATTCTGAAATCAAACTTAATATGTAGGTAAGGTATAATGTAGTCGATCGGGCGGATATGTCGCGTTTTGACAAGTCCAACAGAAAGGACTTGGTAACGATGGTTTGATGATGAAGGCAGGAAGGAGGTTCTTAAAGGAACTCTTTTATATTCGTTTCGTCATTAAAGGGTGTTTTAGTTTTCATCAACATCCTTTAATAGTCTGCAGCTGGACATTGGGCCTCTTCTTTGCAAGGAGGTTTTGGCCTACTATATCACGCTGGCTATATAGATAGTTTTACATCAATATAATTATTTTACTTTCAAGAGCACGCGCCAGTGACTACTTAGTTTGTTCTGATGACACATGCTTTGGAAGTCACTGCATGTCTTAAACAATGTTGATTTAAATTGAATTGTTTTTTTATAGAAATCACAATCAATGCACGTGATAGGGTCATTGGCTCGAATGCACCATGACTCAATACTGGCAATTATTCATAAGACATGGTTCACATATTTGTTAAAAATCTAGTGTTGGAGTTCTGGCATTAAATGTAAGAAAAACAAGTTCAAAGTTTGTTTGGTGCTACAAAATTAGCTATAAAAAAGCTTATAACTTTATCATCAAGAGGCTTTACTCGTCCACTGGTAACCACGTAAGGGTTGGTATAGCTAGGGTTGTTTCAAGTTTCCCTGGATAAGACGGAGACCCTCTTACTTCATGGGCCCAGTCGTGGTTCTCCCCCTGGCGCCTCAATTGTTGTCAACTCGGTCCTCGTACCGGTTCAGGCGCAGATGAAGTATCTGGGCTTGATCCTCGACGGGAGTAACTCTTCGACGAGCACTTCCGACAGCTTGCTCTAAAGCTGGTCGGCGTTGCGTCTGCCCTTGGGCGACATTTGCCTAATCTGGGTGGACCCAGCGTCGCAACGTCGCGTCTGGCCAATGGCACTGTATGGTGCACCAGTGTGGGCGGCGTTTCTGACCGCCCAGAATAGGGCGCGCCTTTGGCGTCCTCAGAGGGTATTGGCGGTTAGAGCCATACGCGGTTACCGCACCGTGTCGACGGAGGTGGCGTGCGCGTTGGCCGGAACTCCCCCGTGAGATTTGGAGGCGGAAGTGCTCGCTGAAGTATATCGCCGGACAACAGTTCCGGGCGGTTAGCGGCAGACGGCCCCCGCCCGAAGAGTGGCGTGAGGCTGCTCGTCTAACTACGACAGTTCGTTGGTCGTCCCGGCTGGAGGCTCCTCGTGCTGGTTTTGTCGCCATAGAGGCGCTCCAGCCGGTCATCGTCGAGTGGACAGGGCGGCAACACTGGACCCTTTCCTTCCGACTAATGCAGGTCCTTTCCGGGCAAGGCTGTTTCGGAAAGTATCTGCACTCGGTTGTTAGGAGGGAATTGAGTCCCGCGTGTCACCACTGCGATTGCAGTGAGGACTCGGCTCAGCACTCGCTGGCAATTTGCCCGGCTTGAGCGGCGCATCGTCAGGCCCTCACTGCAGTCATCGGATCGGATCTCATACGCTCCATGGCCGGTAGTGATAGCTGTTTTACAGTGATCACAAGGAGGCGGTGGAGAGGGCCCGAGAGAATGATTTCCATTCGAACCCAATTCGCTGTCGAAGAACCGGGCAGCGGAGGCGCGCTTACCAGCGCCTCATACCGCCCTGAGTTTGGCCGCGGGTGGACGGGACGGGTTTTCCCTCCACCCTCCATAACGGCCAGCCGCGAGGAGGCGACGTCCGCGTGTGCCGGGCTTCGCCTACATAGAGAATTTACCCGAAGGTGGTGCCTGCGCCTTTGCGGGCAGGCAGCAGTTCCCGGAGCCCTCCTATTAGAAAAGGGGTGATGACACTGTATTCTTAATCCGTCACCACACGGAAAAAGCTTCTAACTTGCAGAAAACTGTTTTTTTATTTTTTAAATCCCTAAATTTTTTGACTTGTGACGTTATTTAAGCGCAGATGTGGTATGTGATTACGAATAGCACTGTTGATTACGCATTTTTTATTACTAATTAGATAGCAAACAAGTCGCGGCCCACCTGACAGCAAGCAGTTGCCGGTGTTTATAAACACTCCTAACATCAGATAGACGTGTTAGGCTGGTTTTACACAATCCGAAACACTGTAAAACAGATACGGAATTAGTAATTTAAATTTTACCGCCTAGATACACACTCACCCACTGCACATCATTTTTCTTCTTGTTTTACACTAAACGTTTCTCGTTACATTATATAGCATAACTTTCCTATAGATTTCTAGTTTTTTATTAAAATAATGTTATCTTCTGTGCTAAAAGCTTTGCACGTTACCAATATTGCAGATAAGATCTTCATATTTAACCCTTTAGTGTTTGTTAATCCTTGTTAAAAGTATGTAGCCTAAAACACGCTAGCTAGTAAGATATCCTTTAGAAAACCACAGTCTAGACTGGTTTTCAAAGAGGTGTTGACATGACATGATGCCATACCGTATATATGAGCTTTATATTTCGGCCTATGTCCCGTGGAATCTCTTTAGCCTCGGTAAAACGGATTGCCAGACCACTACCGATATTTAAATAGGTAGTTTCGTTATATTATTTGACTTTCGGCTCACCATATTCTGTTTAGTTTAATTTTACCACTTTAATATAGGATAAACCTTACATAAATCTTAATTAAATTAAAAAATAAAGATAAAAAGGAAAAGGATTTTGCTTACAAGGATGGATGTTGGGTTGATTAAGCAGGAGCTCCGGCTGGTCACAGGCACATAACTTCCTCTCGGAAAAATCCAAGCGCTCAGACATTTATTTTGTTAAAGTTTCACAAATGATACTTGCGTTTTTTTATTTTTATCTACACCACGTAAAGTTAATAAATAACCACACAAAGTCACTTAACAGAGTATTAAATTATCAATAAAACATCGGCTCGTGACATATATAGATTAAATGCTCACTTTTGTAAAATTCAAGAATTATTTAACCACTGCACCATTTGAATGTGTTTTTCATACTTTCAATATTTACTTTTACAATATTGTATTATTAATAACATCACCGTTTATTTGAAATAATATTCTAACACCTAATTAATACAATACAATGCTATGTCATCTAGACTGGATGACACATTGACACATAACATGACACATAACAGAAGATGCTCCATTATAAGTAACATTAGTAATAATATAGTAAATAGTACCTGTATGACTATTTGGTCAATTTTCTATAATTGAAACCTAACCGGATCGATTAATCGCCCCCGAATCCCCCTGCATACTAAATACTTGATACTTACTCTTACTTTGATACATACTTTCATGAAACGTTTCGTTACATCTAATTACAAACATCATAATTATCTTCTACGACTACCTAATACAAATCTTTACCTGCCTTTTCCAGATATGTGCTTTAGCAAAGCAACTAGATATGACAGAGCGTCAGGTAGAACGATGGTGGCGCCTTCGGAGAAGCCAAGACAAGCCTTCCACTCTTGTCAAATTCAGCGAAAACATGTGGAGAACAACCTTCTACCTTTACAATTTCTCCTACGGGCTCTTCATCCTGTGGGATAAGGAATGGCTCTGGGACATCGACCAATGCTACATTGGGTATCCACATCAGGTTACTTAGATAAATTTCTAATTTTATATTTCTTCATTTTTTTTATGTTAGAGGGGCAGACGAGTAGACGGGGCACCTGATGGAAAGTGACTATCGCCGCCCATGAACGTCTGCAACTCAGGAGTCACAAGCGCGTTGCCGGCCTTTTAGGAAGGAGTATGCTCTTTTCTTGAAGGTTTGAAGGTCGTATCATAAATCATTGTGAGTGTTGTGGGTCCGAACCCCACATGGGACGACACTTTGTGTGATCAACAAATTGTTGTTCTGAGTCTGGGTGTTCTTTGTGTCCGTTTCATGTATGTTTGTAAAGTCCCCCGCGACACAGGATTAATTCCTAGTGCGGGAGGTGTCTTTAAAAAAAAAGAAAACAAAATTGTAGCAATGTAATATTTTTGAGAAAGTCGAAGCAAAATTATGGGTATACCCCAGTTTATAAGTTAGTAGTAAATAAACAATACTTCCTTGAACTATTCTTTAGACTGCATATGTACCTTGTACTTAGTTATTAACGGGTTTTGTTTAATACTCCATACGGTTTGTTATTACAGTTGTAGCGTTATATTAGTAAGGCCTTAAAATAGCATAGCGTAAATAGCTCTAATGGATGACGAATAGCAATTATGCAATATTTAAGACGTTGATGCTACATGGATGCTGCTGATATACCTAAGGAAAGTATACACTACTTTCCTAATGTTGTTTGCAAATTATACATATTTAACAAAAGATACTAGGCCTTTTGTAACTTCAAAATGTAACTGTGTATGTACACGTTGATTTATGGGTGAAATTGGTCAGGGAAACTTAAATTATTTTTCTTTATCAACTGGAACCGTTAAACAATACTCAGAAAATTTTGTTCAAAAAAATGATTTTTAAATCGAAAATTAAAATAATTTAAGATAACAAAAAAAAACAATAAAAAAAGTGTAATCATAATAAGTAAAATACACTTTGTACATAGTCATTTTTTTTTCTTTTGAAAATGAAATGAATGAAAAATACAAATGAATTGTAATAGTAGAAAGCGTAACAAGGGAACTTAAAAAACGTTAAAATTTTAGTTAGGAACTAAGTTTAAAAGGTAATGAAATTATGATGTGAAAAAAACGTTATTAATAACGGATAATAGGGAGCGGATTAATTGTGTAGATACCTATTTAGAAATAACGATCGAACTGGTTCGTCGTCTCTTTATTTTTTCGTAGTAGGAGAAATGTTTTGTTGGGCAGTGTAACAACAGAAACCCATTAATGTTATAACGTTTTCAGGGTGTTACAGATGACGTGTGGTGGTACTACATGATATCAGCATCATTTTACTGGGCGCTCACCATGTCTCAGTTCACGGACGTACGCCGCAAGGACTTTTGGCAGATGTTCGTTCACCATATCGCCACTATCGCTCTGCTATCCTTCAGCTGGGTGTGCAACCTGCACCGTATTGGTACCCTCGTGCTCTTACTGCACGACTGCGCCGACGTATTCCTTGACAGTGCAAAAGCAGCTAAATATGCAAACTACCAACGTTTTTGTGATGTAGTCTTCGCTCTGTTCGCCATTGTGTGGATTATAACAAGACTTGGGTTTTACCCTTTCTACATAATTTGGAGGTAAGGAACTGCTTAAACATTTAAAATTATCAATTGTACCAAATTAATCCAATTACGTGATTGTTTAACCAGACTAAGCAGTTGACGATGATATCTGTCATAAATTAACTGATAAAGAATTTAGTCAGATTAGTATTGCAACACTAAACCGCAGCGGTTATCGCAATGTAAATAACTTTTCTAATTGTCGTGTGACAATTTTGCGGATTATGGTTATAGTTGCGTTGTGTTAACAGTTCTATTTAACTGAACTTACCTATAAAACTGCAATCGTTATGAAGATTACTTTTATAATCAAGATAATGCATATTCATCGAAGGCCAAATAATGATAACTCGCTTTGTTTTTGTTATGTTGGTTTAAGACATGTGTACATTTTATTATTTGACACATCCAAAAATAAGTCATGTCATAGATTGCTAATTTTTTTTCTTTTTTCAGTACATGGTTCCGAGCCCCTATGTTGGGTCCGATATTTCCTGCGTACTACTTATTTAATGGACTGCTATGTCTGTTATTGGTTTTGCACCTAGTGTGGACTTGGCTTATTCTACAGGTAGCATATAAATCCATCGGTTCAGGACAGGTAATAACAATTTGTTGTCAACTTTTTTAAGTTTAATACTACAATAAATGTAAAAAGACGCTAGTGTATAGTTGTGGGATTGGTATTAAACTAAATCGATGACCCTAGATGATGGATGGTGTAAGATGCCATTATACGCTTACCCTTCTGCCAAAACTGGCTGAGCGCCGATCCAAAACGTTATATAAAAAAAAGAATTTTTAAAATCAGTCCACAATTGATAGATAGAATATAGAACCTCCTCCGTTTTTGAAGTCAGTTAACTAGTTGCCGCGCCTTTCGTCAAATTACTGAGCGTGCGTCTGCGTTATAACGTAACTTGTTAGTACAATAAAAATGCCGTGTTGCAGTGCATTTAAAAAAATGTTCAGATACATCAAAATCTACAAAAGGACAAGGATTACAAAATTTCATGCTTCTACGCCTTTTGGCCATTGCACTTAGAGACGTTCAGGTATAATCTTGCGGTAACTATATGACTTGGGTTCTTACACGCACTTATACGATTTGCTCGCAAGATTTGAAACACTCCTGTTTTCTTCAATCGCACAAAAGCAGGAGATTGATACAGGGTGGATCCAGGATGGCTATCCGGCCTGTATGAAGTTTGGCACAAAAATAGATTATAGTCTAAAACAGGGATTCCTAAAGTGCACGATATCGACCCCATGGGGTCGATAATCGGTTTCCAAGGGGTCGACTTAATTGAAAACTGATTTTGAGGGTCGACGAAGTCTAAAAATCAACCCCTATTAATTTCTTTCAAGATAATGTATTAGTTGTGTTATGTGTACCCATTTGTTATAGGAATGACTAATATTTTAGTAGGAAGTACCATTGTTATACTTTTCAAAAATTCAAGTCGAAAAGCGTGCAGTAATTTGGCTATTAGAGTCTGAGGTATCAGTTCATTTTAGATAAGGGGTCTCTTGCCAAAATAGTTTAGGAATCCCTGGTCTAAAATAACACAGGCTACTTTTCATCCCTGGAATAGACTCCCGTGGGTCGTGGGTACGGGATTAGAGTTTTTTTTAAATGGTTCTATAGGAATATCTATCACCTATACATTAAATACAAAATTTCATCTAAATCATTGTTCTAATGATTCGAATGAAATTTTGTATTTAATGTTTCTGAGATCATAGTAAGAAAGCTTGTTTAAAGTATTTAAAGATTATCATAAGAAAATCTGTAGTAAAATTTACTCATTTACATAATTATGAAATAAGAAAAGATATTTTTTTATTTTAATGTTCGTATATTTAATCAAAATTCCTAATTATCGACAATAACTAACGACTAACATTTTTTTTTATCTTCGAGAAATAAGAAACAATATTTACACGAAAAAAAGAAGTCGAAAAAAAACAAAAATCACTACTCGCTGGGTACCGGTGTCCAGGGCGTGCCCCCCACAAGGGCGGCATTTTCAAGGGAGGGGCAATTGATCAGTGTACAAAAATAAATGACAATAGTTATAAGTTTCGCATTACTTTATAAAACGTATATATAATTTCAATCATTCGACACGCAGGCGCGTGTGGGGTTTCCCAATTTTCCCATACCGGCCGATAGTTTTACAAGGAAATCATAGGGCGGCATGATTCGGGCACGCCGTTATTGCGGCAGTAAGGCCTCATTTACGGAGACGCGGGGCGTCGCACGTCGCATGGGTGGCGCGGCCTGCACTGAATTCAGACATATGGCGTTGTATGAGTTCATTTACGGAAAAGCGAAAAATATTTTCTGCCATTATTTCGGTACTCAAAACACTGAGCATAATACTGAAGATTGTTGTGGACAATCATATGATAATGCCACGAACATATCTAGCATGGACAATGACTTGCAGGCGAAAATTCAAAACATAGCACCATTCGCTTTTTACGTGCCTTGTTCTGCCCATTCTTTGAATATAGTGACAACTAAAGGTGCGGAATCGTGTAACGAAGCTTGTCGCTTTTTCATGGTGCTACAGGAAATCTACGTTTTTTTGGAAGATCCGACAACGCTAGCAAAAATTAATTAATAAAATTGAGATGGGCAAATCTCTGAAAGAATGAATCTGAGACCTTGGTCAAAATTTGTAAATCGAAGTGCACTTTATTGAATGAAGAAAATCATTCACCATCCGAAATAGAAATAGATTTTTAACAATAAATTACTACTACTAAAAAATTACGTAAGAAAGGGTGTTACCCCCCTCCCCTCCCCACGACAAGGGCATGCATAGATTTTCTTAATCCCTCCTCCCCCTTTCTTAATGGCCCCTAAGAACAATCTTGGAACTGAAACAATGATCTCTTAGGTCAAATTTATGCCATATAATAAAGGGAAAAATGTAAATGATGTAACCATGACTATAGTACACAAATCCTAGACATTTCATCACAATCATTTCATTGTCAAAGAAAATGAATAATGCTTATGAATTAAGGTATTGAATATCAGAAGTTAGTAGAGGCGGCAAAAATTCAAAGGCCTACTGGCGGCAAATGTGTAAATCCACCACTGCTAATAGATGCCCCTGTGGGTGATTGTACTTGTGTGCTATTAGTTAATGTAGTGTTTAGAATGTAGTGTGTGGGTTCGATCCCCACATGAGACAACACTGTGTAATCTACAAATTGTTGTTCTGAGTCTGAGTGTTCTTTGTGTCCATTTCATGCATGTTTGTAAAGTCAGTAAAATAATGATTGTTTAAGGGTGCGTTGTTGAGCGTCAACTCCGTTTGGTTTAATGCTCTAAGCTTATAACTTCATAGTATACTACAACCAAAAACACTGGTAGTTCATTAACCATCATCAGCAGCCTTTAATAGTCCACTGCTGGAAATGGACTTCTCCTTAGAAAAGAGGTTTTGGCCTACTATACCACGCTGGCCTAACGGTTGGTGTAGGGTTTGTTTCAAGTTTTCCTTTTCTTGTGGTCCTGCGTAGTTGACTCCCTTAGTGGGCTCTTACCGTGACACTCCGTATTCTTAATCCGTCACCACATAGTTAAATGGCTTTTAATTGCAGTCTTCTGTATCCATCTAACTGTATAAAATTTAATATTTTTTTTAAATATCTTCAGATGGACGGTGACATTAGAAGTTCAAGTTCTGAAATAAGTGACAGCTCACATCAATCCAACCACAGCACGCCGAGACATGTCAACAATAAGAAGTAAGTTAATAATAAATTTATTATAAAGACAGTATTCTAGAATATCGGGCAAGAGTGCGCTATTTGATTGGACCAGTAAGCGCGCAAGGTGCTAGAGTTGGCCTAAATCAAGTTCTAAAGACGAAAACAGTCTATTTGCGAGTTCCAAAGTTCCAATTATTCACTTAGGCTGAAGCCCCTTTGTGATGTTTGTGACTCCTGAGTTGCAGACGTTCACTGGCGGCGATGGTCACTTTCCATCAGGTGACCCGTTTCTAATGAAATCATGAAATTAAATGATATTTATTTCTGCAAGTAAATCTTTTCAGATATTTTTACAAGTCGGACTTTACAGCTAGAAGGCGCCGGCATTTCCTAAGACTCACTCAGGGAAAAAACGCCGAAACAAACCAGAGAGGTGTCTTTTTTTAAGTCCGTGTTCAGTGTTAAAGAGAACTATGTGAGTGCAGTATAGGGTCTGGGTTGGCTTTTTGAAGAAAGGACAATTTTTTTGAGTCGCCCATCCATACAGACAGCGTACGGGCCCCAGTCATCGTGTAACCTAACCGATATAGTCAGGATCAACAACCTGGAACACGACACTACCGCCAGCAGGACACTTGAGTAGGCCGTGGAAACTGAAAACACTCAAAACCACAAGAAAGTTATTAAAATATGAATTAACATTACAAGCCTACACTATAGTCACATTTACATACTTACACAAAAAAAACTATACAATTCAATTTCAACGAAAAAATAAACAAATTAAAACAAACGAAATACAAATTAAAACAAAAAATTAAATGTTCATCACTTTCAAATGTGGGAGTGAGCAGCATCAATCCCAAGCAAATTTGTCATCTAAATAATCTGTAACCGTGTAGTAAGCATTTTCAAACAGTTTTTGCTTCACTAGGGACTTAAATTTGTTAATACTTAATTCATGAAATTTGCTTGGAATTTATTGTAAAATCAGACACCCTGACATCGAAAAGAATTGCTTACTTTTGGTACTCTAGTCGTTGGCAACACGAGTTCATTATTTCTAGTGTTAATATTATGAACGTCGTTAAACTTTGTGAATAAATGAGATGAGACTTTCATAATACCAATTTCTTATACTTATCTGGTTTTTGCCTGTTTAACATTAAGAGTAAAAAATCTAAAACATTAAGTTTTTTTCTCGTTTAAAGTAAGTTATTAACGTTGAACCAGTTTACGACCTCGGAGAGAGTGTTATTCACATCGTTAGTAACTGATTGCTGTCGTATTAGTTTAAATAAAAGTGAGGCGTCATTCGCAAATAGCACTATCTCCTGATCATCTTTTATCAGATTAGGTAAGTCATTTATATAAACGAGAAACAACAATGGGAGAGGGCGAGAATTGAGCCTTGCGGAACCCTTACCTTACTATGGGAGTAACCAGAGACCCGATGGACCTCTGTCCATTAAGTTCCACTCTTTGGATCCTATGACCCATATAAAAGATAAGAAGATCCAAAGCAGTATTCCTTAATCCATAATGATGCAATTTCCTTATCAATGTTTCATGAAAAACACAATCGAATGGCTAAGACAAATCACAAAACACACCCAGGGCATCCCGTTTTTCCTCCCAGGCACCAAATTTACTTCCCAAAAGTTCAACACCAGCATCACATGTCGAGCGACCTCTTCTGAAGCCAAATTGTTTCCTGTGTAGGATATTGTTTACACTAAAGTGAGTGCAGAGTAGGTAACACTAAAGTAGGTCTATAATTAGTAGGATCAGACGTGCTACCCGCCTTAAATAAAGGAATAATCTTGCTATGCTTCATTAGGTCAGGAAATACACTACATTTAATGCATTTTTTGAAAATTAAAGCCAACTCGTGATGCAACCACGCTAATAATTGATTTTGTTATTTGTACAGAATTACCCCAAAGGTTTTCTTAACACTAAGAGCATTGAACGTTTTAACAATATCTCTAACTTAAGGAACAGACCAGAGGTAGAAGAAAGACTAAAAGAAATATCATCAAGTTAGTGAAATCTATAACAGTATAATCCTCACTCACACAATAAAATTTGGTATGCGCGATACTTTCGGCAGTTTGTAAGCACGCATACCAAGATAATTATAAATATGCCATTAAAACGCGTGATTTTATTCCCTTATCACACCATACAAATAGGTATGCGTGAACTTTCCGGCTAAAAATCTTCGGATTTTTTCTTGTTGAACATAATATTTCACACAAAATTCTATATAAGATTGATCAAAATCCGTGATGACGGAAAAATTTATGGAAATTTAAAAATAAATAATTTAATTAAAATATTTCCGGCCAATCAAATCCACGCCTACCAAGCAAATCTTGTTCGTCTAAACGTTAACTTTTATTTTTTATTAAAAATATTAGAATCCGTGGTCACTGAGCTTTCAGGATTGGTGGCTCCTGGACTATAATTTCGGTATTTACAAAGCTCATAAAGCCTTGTTCTACTTTTAATTTACCATTACCTGAAGGATGAGTAAAAGTTGATTCGAATTCTAAACGATGCAAGTTAAAAGAGAAACATTATGTAATTGATTAGGATCATCGTTATAACCCAAGCCGGGCAGTTTACTGGACAGTTTATTTTTAAAATTTTCCATACGAGTTACAGTTTTAGGAACTACAGTAATATCTCGTGTTACCACTATTTTAATTTTTATAGCAAGTACACAATACACATCTGTCCACAGTGATCAGAATGTAGTTTATTTATTATTCCTTTGGTGTGTGGCAATATGTCATTAAATATATTATCTAAACACCTGGCTGTGGTGGCAGTGATTCGGGTAGGCTCCAAAAAGATGTTGTCAAGGTTGTATGATCTAAATAGGTTTTTAAACCTTAAACTCAAGGATGTATCTTCAAATATATTGACATTAAAATCACCACACACAACTACACTTTTGTTTGATTTACATACTTTCAGCAAGACTTCATTCAAATTTTTTTCAAAACTTACTCCAACTCCACTTGCTCTAACTTACTCTTGCTCTAACTCCACACGTGCTCCGCGCACGTGCGGCTCCTAAAATCCTTTCTAACCAACATTAATGAACCGCCATGTATAGCATGTTCCCTGCTGAACGAACTTCCTAATATGTGATTACTGAAATTAAACATGAGCTGATGATTTTTAAGCCAATGTTCTGTAATACAAAAAATATCAATTTTGTCACAGCTCATGAACAATTCCATCTCTAGGGGCTTACTAGACATTCCTTGAATATTTTGATGCGCTAGAGTGAAAGTGTTTGTTGTAGATTTTTCTGATACCATACTATATGGTATATTTAAGCTAGAGGTTGCCTCTATTGTCCCTACATGTTTAAGTTTAAAAATATTAGAATTAATAGCCAAATACTTGGTTGGATCCATATAAGTTGTCTGAACAACAGGTTTAATAGCTAAGTTCTTTGCTGTTAATAAAATAACATAGCGATATTGCTAACTGTCGTTTACAAAACAATGAAAGATAACACCTATCTTTGGTCAAATATAAATATTGTCTTAATTGTAGTGTCAATTATATGAAACTTCATATTAAAATATGGCAAATTACAATATGCAGTTTCCGTGGTTTTTGTGACCGAATTTTTATTACGAGAATTCGCCTTCTGAGTAGTGACTTCTCCACTTGCGAGTTTATTTCACTTCTACTTGATCGTCACGGTGACGGTGGCGCTACGATTTGCCTGCACTGAAATCTCCACCAATCGCAAAGCTAAACGCGCTCGCCGTCGAGAGCGAGTCGATGTGAAATAAATTTTCACTCGTTCCTCTGATGGTGACTACCGCCCTTTGAGAGCCCGGTTTCAAACACCGGTTTTCTGCAGTCAAAGGGGCCCATATGTGCAGAAACAAGACTCTCCACGGAAGTATAATTTCTCACGTATCTCTTATTATAGAATCCACACTAATATTATAAATGCGAAAGTATGTGTGTGTGTGTGTCTGTCTGTCTGTCTGTCTGTCTGTTACCTTTTCACGTTGATACCGCTAAACCGATTTAGATAAAATTTGGTATAGAGATAAGAGTCCCGGAAAAGGACATAGGGTAGTTTTTATCCAAGAAATCATACTTTAAGGGGATGAAAAGGTGGGTGGAAGTTTGTATGGTGAGTCAAGAACCGCTGAACCAATTTAGATGAAATTTCATATGGAGATACTTTGATTCTTGAGAAAAGACATATAATATGCTACTTTTTACTGTGAAAACCGAAATTTAAAGAGGCGGAGCCGCAGGCAAAAGCTAGTAATGATTATAATTACACAGAGTAACTTTGATTTTTATAATTTTTCTAGTTGTTGTATGTACACTAATGGGATTTTAAGATGTTACTGATTAGCATTTATTGAGTAATCAATCTCAATAATTCAAACACAAAAATTAACAAGTGGAATTTGGAAACCGGACTATCTTAAGGAAATGTTAAGCAAAATTATTTATCCAGAAATTAAAGACTCAAAGTTGATCATGGCTACCATGATTAACAATTAATAATTCATTGTAAATAAATAATTAATAATCATTAATTGTAAATCATTATCGCAAATGTAATTGAAGTATTAATTTGTAGAGAGGAGATTAAATATGGTTAATATTTTAATTTTAATAGGAGAGGCCTATGTCCAGCAGTGGACTATTTAAGACTGTTGATGTGATACCTATATGTAAAATTTATCTACTGCGTAAAAAATGATACAATAAATAATAGATTACATAATAAATGATAAAGATAGAGATAATGATGAATAAAGGTAGAGACATATGTATAAAATATCTATATGTCTATTATGTTAACATGTCTTGCACGACAAGGACAGGACCAAGTGTTAATTTCTTTTTTTTGGTGTTAACAGAGTTAAGTTTAATTTTACAAATAATATAGTAAATCTTAATGTAGGTAAATTAATTGTAAATCGCAATTAATATTATTTAATCAAATCAAATGTCCGTGTAGTGACGGATTAAGAATACGGAATGTCACTACCCCAATTCATCCCGTGGGTGTCGTAAGAGCCGACTAAGGGCGCAAAACAACTCAGGTCACCAGTACTGCAAAGAAGGAAAACTTGACACAAACCCTATACCAACCCGTCTGGCCAGCGTGGTAAAGTAGGCCAAAACCTCCTTTCTAAGGAGAGGCCCATGCCCAGCAGTGGACTATTAAAGGCTGTTGATGTGATGATTGATAAATCAACATTTTGCAAATTGCAAATGGTAAATTATATCCGCGTGGTGACGGATTAAGAATACAGAGTGTCACCACACCTATTCATACCGTGGGTGTCGTAAGAGCCGACTAAGGGAAAAAACTACGCAGAACAACAACACTACAGAGAGAAGGAAAACTTGACACAAACCCTATACCAACCCGTCTAGCCAGCGTGGTATAGTCGGCCAAAACCTTTCTAAGGAGAGGCAGTGGACTGTTAAAGGCTGTTGATGTGATGTGATTTATAAATTAATTATGATTGATATGTCCTAAGTCCTACGCCAATAAATTGAATGTAATTTATGATATTTATTTTCAGGGAGGCATAGGGTCGGGCCATACGACCGTCGCACCTGAACCTTCAAAGGCCCTTCAAGGGCCACAGAGCCGCACAAGCATCATTTGACAGCATGAAGTTGTAATTACTTTAATTATATTTACTTTTTATTTATATTTTAAAAGCCCAACAAAATAAAATGCCCGAACGCGAAACAACCTACGTCACAAATAGTTGGCATTTATTTTATAAATGGCAAAAATTACACTATTTTAATAGTTTACTTTCTGTATTAAATGATATGTAGTTATTTTTATGTAATTTGAAATCCATGGTGCCTGAATTAGTTTTTATTTTAAAATGCTGAGAACATTTTTAAATGTGCGTCTAAATATTGTCTGTGATACCTGACAATAGGCACAATCTTGTACACGTTATCTTAAGTTGCGGTTTGGAGTATGCTATATATTCCGTATGCACTGTAAATTGGGCCAATACGTGAAAAGTGGCATTATAATTGCACATGTCAGTGATTCATATCGAACTGTCAGAAAATATCTTATAAGATTGGTTCATGATAAAACTACGTCAAATACGTACTATTTATATAAAATACGTGATTTTTTCACAAACCATGAGGAAGTGCTATACTTCGAAACTGTGTAATGTTATAAATATATTTATCATTTACCAATAAATGGCCCAGTATTTTCCAAAGATTTATAGAGTAAACTGGGTTTTATACATTATACATAATGATAGAGAACCATGCTTATTTCATAACATATCGAAAAATGTTCATTATTTAGTCATTTAATTCATAATTTCGAATATTTATAAACTTAGTTCCTTTGCTAAACTTAAAAGGAATTGACTTAAAACAACACAATTTATTTAATTTCAAACTATTTTATTACCTAATTCATAAGTTGAAATTGTTGTCGTTTTAAAGTACATACTATTTATCCAGCTTATGCGCGAATTGCTTGTGAAATTACAATATTGAAGATATATACTGTCAAACTTAAAATGTAGATATTAGCGCGTAGAATTTTTCTCTGCTAGCACTGAAAACGCGTCTATCACAATATATGCCTCTACTTACTAAATAACTTTCGTATATATATTTGAATGCATAACAATTTGATGTACATTGTATCAGGGAAAAAAGTCTGAACTACAATTAACAGTTTCTATTTGTACCCCATTCCATTTATCTGATTATCATTAACCTAACCTTTAACGACAATAGAATTCAACAAAGTTCTAAGAATAGTACAATCTGATAAAAAAATCCTACTGTGCATTATTTTGACTTGGAAATAATAGATTTTATGTTTAAAATAAATGAGTATTTACTCAAATTATAAAAAATATATAAGGCCAACTTCCATATCCATCTTCAGAGCTTAAAGATCTAGTGTAGGTTCATGCTATATTATAATGCCGAGTTCCTGCAACAGAACGCTAACTCAAAATAAGACTGACTTTTCTGTGGTGTTGCTAGTTTGTGTGATTGTACTCAAATGTCTCACTTATACAGTACATTTTTATTTACTATTTTTACTTTAGATAAAATAATGAATATCCTTAAATACTTACCATATCACCTAGTTTAAAAACCGCAAGTGGGTATTGCCACCCACAATATATTTAGTTTCCCTAGTACCATGTATTATTTACCTAACAACATTCCGATTGTAAGAAAAAGAGAAGTCCTCCTTTTAAATAATCATGCCACAATTGCCAGCTTGGCCATAATTAAGAACGCATTCTACTGCTGTGATTGATGCGTTCGGTCATTTCTTTGCTGATTACAAAATCGTTTTTTTTTAACAGCGTACGTCTGATTTCTATGTTTTAAGTTTGTCTTAGTAACAAAAAATACATTTATTTTATAAGTAGGTAAAATATTTACCTGTCATGCATTTTGGGGAACTGTTGTCGTTGCACTTATTTACGCAATTATTCTAAAAAATTGTACTTAGTGGTAAAATGGCGGTGAAATTTAAACAAGAGAGAAATATTAGATTTATTTAGTGAAATCATTCGTGTAGTAATTAATTGGTTTGTAAAAATTATGAAAGTGTTTTATGATGATAAAAAAAAAAACAACTAATAATTGGTATTACTATGATGTTCCTCTCGGTTAAGAACTTGAATACGTTCCTTTTAATGCCTCCTTTAATTTATTCGAGATTGGGTTTGATTATTTAGACCTTTTTCATTGCCATCCTAACGTCAAAGCATAGTATTATTTGAACCAAATTTTAGTATACTTAAGTCGAGCTATAAGGTTGAGAAGAAATATTTACGAAAAAAAAAATTACTTTATTTAAGGGACCACAATATTGGAATATAAAAAAATTGTTTGCATTAAGTACTATTTACTTTAGGGATATGTATGGTATATTTTTTTTTAATACTAGAAGTACAATTATAGGGCTTTTAATAAAGTTGAATCGATTTGAAAATACCAAATATTTTTGTAAACACTCTTTCTACAATGTTTCATCAACTGCGAGTACATTTAAATGTATCACAAAAATAGTATTATTTAACTTACTCTAGCTTTTAGTTCTTAAATTAAAAACAAACGTTATTAAAAAAAAACAATTTATTGCATTCGATACGATAGTTTTTATTGTTTATGAATCAACTTATAATGCTTTGTTTAAATTCTGTAATTTTATTTGCAATTAGAATTGGGCGTGTCCTTCCTTAGATATTACTTTGGTTTTATCTAAATATAGAACTTTGTATGAATGTAGAACTTTTCAAATTTAAATATATATTTTTTCCTTTTTAATATATGTTAATCCCGCCATTTAGTCATATATTTACATATATTGTGTCATGTTCTGTTGACGATAGGAATACTTTTTGCCGTATTGACTACTTATGGTAACTTTAAAAATAATTGTTACGAATTTTTCTCTCATTTATTTAATACAAGTAAGATAATTTCGTCTGCAGAAGAACTTTTTGTTAAAAAGCAACACATTTTTTTTGTTAAAAATAGGTCTTGTGAAATTAATGCGTTTCTAATTTAAGAAGAAGAACTTATTACTTGAACTTATTTGTTGTAAACAAACTATGATAATAGTAGTGCCTTGTTATGTGTGCATTTACTCTAGAATTTCCGAACTTACAGCTCGGACTAACATGTCATATTTAGTTTTAATATGGCAATAATTTTCATATTAATTGTATAGGTTAAATAACGTCGATATGTCGCTTTACATACCTTATATTGACAAATTTAAATAATGGTAGGTCCTACCATGTCCTTTGGCTCATTACTTTGTGAGCACGACTATCCAGCATACATTTTTAAAGGTATTAGTATTAATAAATACTAATAAAAAGCTAGTGATAAGCTGTAATTGACCACGTGTGATTCTTGCTTCGTCTTTAATTAAATAATAATATAATTCCAGATTCTGAATAGTGATTTCACAAAACGGCTTGGAGCAAATTTCGCAAAGGCTTATTTAAAAATTCCAAAATGTATATTCCAAGATATTTAGATTTATTTTATAGAATCTATTGATTACTTCCGCCTGTTCGTACATTTAACACTACTGCTAGACACTTGAAAGGGTTTATATTAATTTGAGCAGTTATCATATGTATTTTATGGACTTTATAAAATGATTTTTGATTATAGTACTAGACTAATAAAGTGAATTCATATATCAATTATAGCTTCTCTTGTCCATGCAAAAATGTATAACATGCTAGTTAACTATCGTTCTAGTCGTTTTATTCTGGACAATGCCCACATTAACATAAACCTTTTTAAGCTACTTCATAAAATAGATATTGTGAATATGACTTAGATAATTATCTAAGTCTTCTTCAAAAGTTATTTCCCACGAAACGTTATCAGCCTGCTAAGAACAATTAAAAAAATAACAATTGTATATAAAAATACATATTTAGTCTACTAAACCAAATAAATATTTTATTCCCGCCGTTTCTGCTGGTGTGGCTAATTAATGTTTTGTAATTAATCTTAATGACGAACAAACAATCTAACCATATCATTTAAATTATATGTAAATTATTAATTGCACATTTATAAGATAGCGAATTAGTTATACACTGACTATTATTTAGTCCAAAAACTGAAAGTCGACTGTTACGCATCAACATATTTTTGGCGAAATAATAGTCGATTTTCTGTATATTTACATACATATAATCAAAAAGAGGTACTATTGAAAACACCCAAAGATGCTTCATTTAAATAAAAACTTTTTATATATTAATACTAGAATATAATTATATTATTGATGACTGTACAGTTTCAGTTATTTTTAATGAATACATATTTATTTATAACTACTTAATATTATGTACATAAAATACTTACATATTTGATTTTATTTTCTCAGTAAACGGAACAGTATAAGAGTTTTAGTAATAATTTAAACTCTGTTTTAAAAATTCAATGTTTTTTACTCTAATGTTTATTTCGATAAGAAGAATTTGTTTTTTTTTTCCTTAAGTAGTTAAGTATTAATTGTTTTTCTTTCAGTATTTTGAACATATTTTACTTACTTTGTTTATTTGATTATTAAATGTTTATAGTCTATATACAAAGGTGCGCACTTAATTGAGTGATATATTATGTAGTTTTAACTAGATAGATAAAGTAAAACTATTGCAGATATCAATCTTAGTCATGGGATATTTGGGATTAGAGAACACGTACAAATTTACAATGTTAAATAATGTTTCACGTTGTATGTACACTCGACTGTTTAAAAAATTGTGTAAAGCAAAGTAATCCACAAAATTAAAATATATATTAAAATGTATTTATAAATATGTACTTACATAAAAACTTGAATGCTTACTTAAATACTTCATCAAATATTAAATCATGGTACTTATTTATTTAAACAAATAATTTATTTTGTCTTCTCTAAAGGTTTGTGAATTAAACTCAATCCACGCCTATCAAAGGCATTACTTAAATTGGGGAACCTACTCGTTGTTGGATTGGATGTTCGGTTTTTGTTCTTGACGGTAAGTTTCTCATGT